CTGAGGCTGAGGCCGAGGCTGAAGGCAGACTGAGGCTGAGGCTGAAGCAGGCTGAGGCTGAGGCTGAGGCAGGCTGAGGCTGAGGCTGAGGCAGGCTGAGGCTGAGGCAGGCTGAGGCTGAGGCTGAGGCTGTGACTGCGATTGCCGTTGCCACTGCGACTGTCATCGCGAATGCGACTGCGACTGCGAGAACAGAATTCTACAACTGGATTCTCATCTGAATCTCAAGGGGAATGCTTCCTGATATGCTCCTACACATCGCTGTTAGGTTGCTTTGCCGGGATAATTTTTGATGTATCTTTTGGGGAAAGCGCGCCAGTGGATGACCCTGTAATTGAAAAGGGTGTGTGTGTGTGTGTGCTCGCAGAACCCTTCTCCCCCTTTAAAGCGGGGGTGTGAGATATTCGACCCGCCCCCCTCCCCCCCCCTTCGGGGGGGGGTCTGAACCTCCCCCTACCCCCCACCCCTTGAAGCGGAGGGAGGTCCGGACCTCCCCCCCCCTCCCCCCCCTTGCGCTGGAGAGGGGGGGGGGTCGAACCCCCCACCCCCCCTCCCCCTACCCTTTGCGCCGAACAGGGGGCCGGGGAGGGGGCCTCGCCCGCAAGAGCGGGGGGGTCTTGCCTCGGGATAGTGAGAAGTGAGTAGAGACTAGTGAGTAGGGAGTAGTGAGTAGTGAGTAATGAGTAGTGAACAGTGAGTAGTGAGTAGATAGTAGCGAGTAGTGAGGAATGAGTAGTGAGTAGTGAGTAGGGAGTAGTGCTCAGTGAGTAGAGAGTAGTGAGTAGGGAGTAGTGAGCAATGGGTAGTGATGAGTGGGTAGTGAGTAGTGAGTCGCGAGTAGAGAATAGCGAGTAGTGAATAGCGAGTAGCGAGTAGGGCAGTGTGAGTCGTGAGTACTGAGGAGGGAGTAGTCAGTAGTGAATAGTGAGTAGGGAGTAGTGAGTAGTGAGTAGGAAGTAGCGAGTATTGAGTAGTGAGTAGTGAGTAGCGAGTAGTGAGTAGTGGGTAGTTGGGAGGGGGTAGTGAGTAGTGAGTAGCGAGACGTGAGTAGCGAGTAGTGAAAAGTGGGTAGCGAGTAGGTGATTGTGAGTCGTGAGTAGTGAGGAGGGAGTAGTCAGTAGTGAGTAGTGAGTGGGGAGGAGTGGGTAGCGCGTAGGGAGTAGCGAGTAGAGAGTAGTGAGTAGTGAGTCGTGAGCAGTGAGTAGGGAATACTAAGTAGTGGGTAGTTAGTAGTGACGTGTGACTAGTGACTAGTGAGTAGGGGGTAGGGGATAGTGAGTATTGCGTAGTGAGTAGTGCGTAGTGGGTCGTGAATATTGCGTATCGGGTAGCGAGTAGCGAGTAGGGAGTATCGAGTAGTGAGTAGTGAGAAGTGAGTAGTGAGCAATGGGTTCTGTGTACGGAGTAGGGAGTAGCGAGTAGCGAGCAGCGGATAGTGAGTAGTGAGTTGTGGGCAGCGAGTAGTGAGTAGTGAATTGTGAGTACTCAGTAGTGAGTAGTGGATAGTGGTTAGTGGGTCGTGAGTAGTGATTCGTGAGTAGTGAATCGTGGGTAGTGAGTAGTGTTTAGTGAGTAGTGAGTATCGACCAGTGGGTAGTGAATAGTGAGTTTTGATGAGGGAGTCGGGAGTTGTGAGTAGTGAGTGGTGAGGAGTGGGTAGTGGGTAGTGAGTACTGGGTAGTGAGTAGTGGGTCGTGAGTAGTGAGCAGTTAATTGTGAGAAGCGAGTAGTGAGTAGCGAGTAGTGACTAGTCCGTAGTGAGTAGTGAATAATGAGTACTGAGTACTGTTTGGGGCTAGGGTTAGTGTTTGGGGTTCGGGTTACGGGTGGTCGTGGTGGTAGTGTTAGGGGTGGTAGGGTCGGGTTCCGGAGCCAAGGGGCTCCGTGGCGAAAGGGGGGAGGGGGGGTCGAATTGGTGGCCCAGCGGTGGGGGGAGGGGGGGGTCGGAACCTCCGCCCCCCCACTTTGAAAGTGGGGGGCTTCCCCGACGACGGAGCGGGAAAGGGGGGGAGGAGGGGACGTCCCCGACGACGGACGGAAAAGAGGGGAGGGCTGGGGGGGGTCCCTGCGACGGATCGGGGAAGGGGGGGGGGCGGGGGGTCCCCCCCCCTATTGGGGCCATCCAGCGGCGCGCCCTCTTTGTTGGGGTATGTTGGATTTTTCATCCAGAGCCCCCCTGTAGGGGGACATGCCCGACCTGAGGCTTGGGGGTGAAATCGAAGTGGAACTCGGTTCCGGTTTCGTGTTTGTGTCGTTCGAGGCGAGGCGAGGCGAAGCTGCGTGGGCGCGCGGGGGGAATGACCCCGCTGTCGCTATAGGGCGATTCGGAGGCAGCGGACCGCCCCTCCGCCCCCGGCTGGGCGCGCGATGGCCCGGCGTGTCCCGCCGTGGTGTCCTGTGGTGTCCCATTGGTGTCCCGTTGGAGTCCCGTCGGTGTTCCGTCGGCGCTGGGCGGGCGGTGGCCAAGGGTGCCCCGCCTTGGTGTCGATAGTGATGAAGTCGATGGTGAGATGAGTCATGAGATCGCTAGACTGGGATTCGTAGTTTGATCACAAGTGAGATCTTCAGTTATGTCGTTCGTGCCATTGGTTTTGCGATGGTTAGTGAGATAGAGGAGTCGATACTGATATCGATAGTGGGATCGATCGTGATATCGACAACGAGATCGATAACGATACCGATGCTGACATAACATCGGAGCGCAACATCGTCATCACGCGTCGTCGCTAATTCGAGGGCGCGTCACCAGCATCGTCATCATCACACCCATCGCATTTACCAGCAGTTGGTTCTTCCGCCCCCAACACCCCAACCTTCTGATCACCCGAAGGGTGGCCGTATAGGTATTCATAGATCTCTTCGCCCTATCAGAGGAGGAAGGTAACGATGCTGCTACCCTTTCCCATTTTTCCCTTTGGGGGCATCCTGGTGGGCCCTCGTCGCCACCGGTGGAGTCGCGCTGACATTCTGGTCAGAACACACCCCAGAAGAGATCGGGGGAGTAGCGGTATTGGTACCTTTTGGCTTTCTAATAGTTTTCCCACATGGGGCCAGTACGTCGATTTCGTGTGCTCACTGAACATTGGCTTTTACTGAGGACGTCTCAGGCGAAATGCCCCGCCACATTAAGCTAGCTTTTGAACGTCCGAGCTTAACATCTTGATGTTCTGAGGCTGTCTCATGTGAGCGCGCCATGTTTGAGAAGTTAAGTCGTAAAGCAAGACCTCTAGTATTCCCACTGCGATGTCCTAGGCTAAACGCCCCCCCCCTCCCCACGCCATGATGGATATCCGATGCCAGATCTCCAACATCATTGTTCTGAGGATGTTTCATGAGAAACCTTTGTTTTTGAATACCAGCGTCGTACCACAACTCCTCCACCATCTCAACGTTGTGAGGACGTCTCGGGCGGCACGCCCCCCTCCCCCCCACATACAATATGCTCGACATCCGATGCCCGATCTCCATCAGTTCAACGTTCCAGAGAATGTCTTGGACGAAAGCTCAACTTCTTGATAACCAGCGTCGTAACACAGCTCTTCTATCATCCCACTGATGTGAGGATGTCTCGAGTGGAACCACCGCCCCCGCCATGTTGGGTATCCGACGCACGATCTCTAGCATCGCAGTTGTCCTGACGATGTCCCAGGCGAAATCTTCTTGTCTTGCGAACTAGCGTTGTAGCACGAATCCTCCAGCATCCAAATTTGGTGAGGATGTCTTGGTCGAGCCGCCCCGCCCACCATTCTGGGTATCCGACGCCCGATCTCCAACATCTCAATTTGCTGAGGATCCAACGTCGCAACACAATTCCTCCATCATTCCGATTTTGTCAGGGTGTCTTAGGCGAAGCGCTCCTCCACGCCATGTTGAATATCCGAGGCCTAATCTCCAACATTCAATTGTCTGAGAATCTCTCGGGCGGAACTTGCACTGTCGAGAACCAGCGTCGTACAATAACTTCTCCAACATTTCCATTTTGCGAGGATGCCTCAGGCGAACCGCCCCCCTCTCACCATGTTGGATATCCGACGTCCGACCTTCGTCATCTCATTTTGTTGAGCACGTCGCAGGCGAAAGCTTCAGTTTTTGAGACCCAGCGTAGTAAGACAACTCCTCCAACATCCGCATTTTGCAAGGCCGTTTTAGGCGAACCGCTCCCCTTCACCATGTTGGATATCCGACGCCCGATCTTCAACAATTGACATGTCGTCATTTTTCTGAGGATGTCTCAGGCGAACGCTTTCTGTTTGAGCATCAACATGATAAGGCACAGCCCCAGTTCGTGAGAATGTCTCGAGCGAACCGCCTCCTCCTTCTTCTGCTCGTCACTCGTCACCCTTCCAGTCTAGGGCCAAGGGCCCGACAACACAAAGAGAACCTTGGGCCCAAGCCGGGAAAAGCTTAGACTGAACATACATAAGCGATGAGCTAATCACATGAACTCATTGTAAGGCCTTTCCGTTTGATAGTGGCAGTGAGGAGCGTTTTGTTTGGGTCGCTCAAGTTGTGTTGGAAATTGGTGACCAAGAGGCCGGTAACACAACAACTTGAAACCCGTCATAATTAAACACACACATACGTATAACAAAACATGTACATACAGCGCGCGAGGGAAGGGAATTGCGAACAAGCAGGCGGCGACGCGCAATTGTGAGGAGCACGAAGGGCATATGAAGGCGTGGTGGGCTTTCATAAGGGGAAGGCGATACGGACACAGGCCACGCGTGGCTCCACAAACCTTCCAGGAAGACCTGGCACCTCTTTGAAATAGGGGTCGGCGGATCCTGAAGGCCGATGCCGGCGTTGCTGGAAGAGAAGGTGCAGATCGAGAAGCAGGGGCAAGGGTGGAGCAGCGGAATAGGCAGGAGAAGGAGATGGATGATAAGGAGGGGGGTTCTGGGGAGTGGGTGGAGTAGCAATTGTCACCCCCGAAAAGGGCATACGGTAACTTGCACCACTATCTCGGCTCGCATGGTAGTACGTCATCCCTGGATGAGATGATGCAAGTTCGAGTACATGTTTGTTTGCAGCATCGAAGCTACCCGCAGTTCTTCTTCGTCATTCCATTTTGGCTCGTCAAGAGCCAGAGGGCAAGTATCGCAGCTGCCGAGCCTTGCAACGCCGACGATGCCGCTGCCCGAGCGTGTGGAGAGGAGGTCGACGAGGAGACGTACGGTGCTACTCCTTGGCTGAGGAAGTCGAAGGGGTGGATGAAGCGCAAGCGGGGCTGCCAAGCAGATGAAGAGGATGGGAAGGTGGCCGTGGACGCGGACGTGGAGGAGGAGGAGGAGGAGAAGGAAGATGAGGCACAGGAAGAGCAACCGCGGGAGCGGGGCGACGGTGCCAACAGCACGCCAGCTGCACACGCGACGCCAGACGAGGGCACCGCCGGTGCGGGCGGCGGCGCGGACGGCGGCGACGGCTGGTTCGTCTTCGAGCTCGGCGAGCACACGCTGCACGTGCACCCGGCGAGCGGGCGCGTCTGCGCGATGGAGCCCGAGGGCGCGGTGGTGGGGGAGTTCGACCCCGAGGCTTCAGTCGGTCGTGTCCCTCTACAGGAGGCATGTCCCAAAATAGTCAAGAATAGTCGGGGGACGATGTTTCGAGTATTTTTTGACTATTTTCGAATGTTGTTTGGCTATTTCTTATTTTTCGTCCAAATCCGCCTGTAGGGGGGCATGCCGACCCAACCCGAGGCGGGCGAGATCGCCCTCTTCGCGGAGGATGCCGAGGCGGTCGGCGCCGCGGAGCCGCGGCGGGCCGAGGCCTCCGAGGCGCGGCTCGCGGCCGAGCACGGCGGCGGCTGGGCGGAGGAGTACGCCCGCCGCGGGCTGCTGCGCGTGGGCGGCGGCGAGGCTGCCGACACCTCCAGCTGGCTGAGGGAGGGGCTGCTCGCCGGAGTGCCTGGAGGAGGAAGAGGCACGGGCACCGCCACCCTTTTGTGCCTCGTTCTCGTGTTTTTTGGATCTCCTGTGAGGTCCCCGTCGCCACCGCTGGATCCGCCTCGAAATTCTGGTCAGAACGCACCCCGAGATTGGTCCGGGGAGTACGGCAGGTTCGCGTCGCGTCGTCCGGCTGCGACCCCGCCGCCGGCGTTCCGCGTTGAACGCCGCCGGCGACCCAGAATCGATCGATGTTGAACGCTCAGACGTTCCCGAAACGGCGGAGCGTTCAAGGTTGAACGATCTCCGCGGTGTCAGGAACCAGCGCCAGGGTCGACACGACACGGACCTGCCGTGGGGGTATTGGTAACTTTTTGGCTCGCCCAGGTTCAGGTGGAGCTGGAGATCCTGCTGGCGGCGGGTGCTCTTGCGGCCAGGCACGGGCAGCCCGCGCACGTGAGGAGCGACCGCGTGGCCTACCTGCAGCTCGAGGGCGGCGACGGTGACGACTGCGAGGGCGGCCTCGGCGGCGGTGAGTTGCTGGACGCCGTGCCGTGCCCTCCATGCTGCATGGAGGTCATCCGATTGCTGGAGGGCTTTGCGGCGGCACTGGACGGGCGGCTGCATCTGCATTTGCGGCGTCCGAGGCGATGCATGGCGGCGTGCTACGAGGGCGGTGCCTTCTACACTCCGCACCGGGACAACGATCTGGATCCCAGCACAGGGGAGCTCAAAAACCGTCGTGCGCTGACAGCGATCTTTTACGCGAACGACCCAGACTGGACTATTGAGCAAGGAGGCGCTTTGCGCTGCCACCCGAATGTTGGTCCCGCCGCTGGGAGTGCACAGCCGCTCAAGCCATCGCAGGAAGTACCCATGCCAGAGGCCGCGGGTGCTGTGGACATCTTGCCATCAGGAGGCAGGGTCGTCCTATTCGACAGTCGCAGATTGCTGCATGAGGTGCTTCCTGCGAAGGATCGGCGATGGGCGATCAGCGTCTGGTTTGTCACAGAAGATGCGTCTGCTGCCTAGCCAGCAAGAAATGATACATGGTTCGTTATCGGGCACCCGACGCAATTACCCTTCTGTACTGCCACGTATATCCGCAACCGCTCTGGGGGAAGCTTCGTAGCGACGATGAAGCCCAGCACAGTTTTTCCGTCGCATGGCTGTCGCAATTGCAGTGGTGTTCTTTTATGGCCTTCTATGGGCCTGGGGCCGTCTTGGAGTGTGGTACATCATGGTGAGATTTTTGGGCCGTCTTGGGCCAGCCTGGACCCGTCTTGGGGCTGCCTTCGGCCGCTCTTGTGCAGTCTTGGGCCCGTCTGGTGGGTGTCTTAGGCTCTCGCGGTGGGGCTGTCTTGAAGGCCTCGGGGGAGCCTGCTGGAACGCTGGGGGCGCCGTCCAGAGCGGCCCCACAATCCTCTGAAAGCCAGCCCGAGACCAGCCTGTGCCTTTCTCGGTATCAAGGAACGTGCACGTGTACCTAGCAGACCAGCCTGCAGATGACAAGGATGTTTGGGGTGATAGTGTCTTCACTTCCGTTCATCCTTCCATGCGCGACTTCATACTTCCATCCACGCAATGTCCTCTCGAGTCTCCAGACATGCACCCTTCCATCACTGCGTGCATCTATTTACTCACGAATCAGTACCTCAGTGCAGGCATTCTCATTCATCGTTCCTCGACTCAATCGATTCAGCATTCAAGACATCATCGATCTACAGTTGGCTTACTTGTGCTTTACACTTGATTTACAGTTGCTTCTCAGTGCATCCACAGCTGTTTCACACCCGATCCACTCATAAGTCACAACCCATCAGCATTTTTGACAACGGCTTTCATTGGATCGGATCATGCCAACATTCGCAGCAGACTGGTGATGCCAGGATCTCTGCAGGCGTCTGGGACGAGGCACCGTCGAGTTCGAGCATTACATCTCGTCTTACCAGGCCTCTGGAACTGTGACCATGCACATTTCACACACAGCAGCAACACAGCGAGCCACGTTTGGCCGTATACGTACTTCTCGTGTTTGGGGCCATTGCACATCCTCGAACTGCGACGATCGCTAGGTAGTCAATTGCCCATCCAGCAGACGCGACGCCTGTGAGTCGGGCGCGGTTTGCGGCGAGGTTCTAGGGAATATGAACGCCAGGCTCCGTTCCCTTCAACGGGCGGGGTCTGATACACGGAGTAATCGAGTGCGATTACTCCGTGTATCCAATATGCAGGTTCCAATAGGAAACTAATTCGAATCTGCTTCGGATACACGGAGTAATCCAGTGCGATTACTCCGTGTACCCAACAATATGCAGGTTCCAAGGAATCCAATTCGAATCTGCTTCGGATACACGGAGTAATCGAGTGCGATTTCTCCTTGTATCCAATATGCAGGTTTCAGTAGGAATCCCATTCGAATCTGCCTCGGATACACGGAGCAATCGAGTGCGATTATTCCGTGTATCTAATATTCAGGTTCCAATGGGAATCCAAGTAGAATCTGCTTCGGATACACGGAGTAATCGAGTGCGATTATGCCGTGTATCAAATTTGCAGTTTCCGATAGGAATCCAATTGGTGCCTCGGATGCACGGAGTAATCGAGTGCGATTATTCCGTGTATCCAATATGCAGGTTCCAATAGGAATCCAATTGGAATCTGCCTCGGGTACACGGAGTAATCGACTGCGATTATTCCGTGTATCCAGTATGCAGGTTCCAACAGGGAATCGGCCCGGACCCGGCTGCGGAATCGGCCCGGGAGGCTTCCCGGGCGCCGGAAGCAGAAATTCAGCATTTTCAAAGAACGAGTGTGTATTGAAATCGTTTTTTTTCGGCGCCGCCGCGGATCTCGATTTTCCAGCGCCGGCCGGCACTATCGAATTATAATCTGCCTCGGATGCACGGAGTAATCGAGTGCGATTACTCCGTGTATCCAATATGCAGGTTCCAATGGGAATCCAATTAGAATCTGCTTCGGATACACGGAGTAATCGACTGCGTTCGCTCCGTGTATTCAATATGCAGGTTCCAATGGGAATCCAAGTAGAATCTGCCTCGGATACACGGAGTAATCGAGTGCGATTACTCCGTGTATCCAGTATGCAGGTTCCAATAGGAATCCCATTCGAATCTGCCTCGGATACACGGAGTAATCGAGTGCGATTATTCCGTGTATCCAATATGCAGGTTCCAACAGGAATCCCATTCGAATCTGCTTCGGATACACGGAGTAATCGAGTGCGATTATTCCGTGTATCCAATATGCAGGTTCCAATAGGAATCCAATCATAATCTGCTTCGGATGCCCGGAGTAATCGAGTGCCATTACTCCGGTTATTTAATATGCAGGTCCCATTAGGAATCCCATTCGAATCTGCTTCGGATACACGGAGTAATCGAGTGCGATTATTCCGTGTATCCAATATGCAGTTTCCAATCGGAATCCAATTAGAATCTGCCTCGGGTACACGGACCAATCGAGTGCGATTATTCCGTGTGTCCAATATGCAGGTTCCAATGGGAATCCAATTAGAATCTGCTTCGGATACACGGAGTAATCGAGTGCGATTACTCCGTGTATCCAGTATGCAGGTTCCAGTAGGAATCCCATTCGAATCTGCTTCGGATACACGGAGTAACCGAGTGCGATTACTCCAATATGCAGGTTCAAACAGGAATCCAAGTATAATCTGCCTCGGATGCACGGAGTAATCGAGAGCGATTACGCCGTGTATCCAATATGCAGGTTCCAATAGGAGTCCAATTCGAATACGCCTCGGATGCACGGAGTAATCGAGTGCGATTACTCCGTGTATCCAGTATGCAGGTTCCAATAGGAATCCAAGTATTATTTGCCCGGATACACGGAGTAATCGAGGTCGATTATTTCGTGTATGCCGGCGCCAGGAGGCGTCGCCGGTTTGTTGTTGGGGTTGTCGTTGTTGCTGATGTTGGTGTCGTGGTCGTCGTCATTGAGTTTTGTGTTGTTGCTGTTATTGTTGTTGTTGCTTTTGTCGTTGTTGTTGTTGTTGTTGTTGTGATTGTTTTCGTTGTGGTTATGATTGTTGTGGTTGTGGTTGTGGTTGTAGTTGTTGTTGCTGTTGTTCTTGTTGATATAGTTAGTGTTGGTGCTGGTGTTTTTGGTTGTTGCTGTTGTTGAATTTTCACTACAGAAATATTGCTCCGACGGAAGGACCCCGCATGATACTCTGTTTTGCGTGCCCTTCTCCCTTTCCTCCTGGCCATGGCAAACACCCTCCTCTCGCCCTCTCCTCTGCCCTCTTTTCCCTCCTTCTTCTATTTCTCCCTTCCCCCTCCTTCTATCCTTCTACCTCCCCCTCCTCCTTCTCCACCTCCTCCTCATCATCGCCCTCCCCCATACGCTCCCCCTCCTCATCTTCCTCCTGCCGCTTCTCTACGTGCACCTCCCCCTCCCCTTGGTCGGGGCAAGCAAGTTGACGTTCCTCGGCGCCGTCGCCGCCTCGGCCAGCACTGGCGCGTTCTCTGATGGCCGCGTCGCGCAGCCGTTGGGACGACCCCGCGGGACAGGCTGTCGGGACAACCCCGCGAGCCGTTGGCGCGCAAAACCAAACCGTTGGGACAACCCCGCGGGCTTCGAGCGGGGCGCAGCCACGCCAGGCGGGAGGCGGCACGAAACCCAGCTTTGCCGCGAGCTGCTCCGCCTCCGCTCTGGACAAAACCGTTCTCTTGTCGAACTCCAGCAGCGCCTTCCGCAAGGACGCCGGCGGCCCTCGCTCCAGGAACTCCCGCGGCGGCGGCCGCAGGATCAGCATGTTCCGCGTGGACGTGGCGCGGGAGAACATGACGTAGAGGTGCAGCCACCACTGCTCATCCGACATGCCCGTGCGGCCAGCGTCCTCGTCTCTCGCGCAGTCGATGGTGACGCCCTTGCGCAGCGTCTGGCCCTGCGACAGCGTGGAGGTCAGGTAGGACGCGTGCGTCAGGGTGAACCCCGAGCGGCGCACCTTGTGCGCCCCCGAGCTCTGCCACGTGAGCTCCCTTTCGTTGGGCCTGAACATCACCAAGCTCCGCGCCCGCGCCCGCGCCTCGGCCTGGTAGTCGTCGTCAGCGCCCTCGGCGCCCTGCAGCAGCACCTCGGCGATCTCCTGGTAGATCGGAGACTGTTTGGAGCCGTGCACGTGCAGCCAGATTCCCTGCGGTAGGAAGCGGGGGCGGGAGAGCTGGCCCGGCGCGCGCTCCTCGTAGTCCCGCTCGTCGTCTGCGTGCAATTCGGAAGACACGATGGTGGCCCGCTGCTCCTGCACGAGCCCCAACCTCTTCTTCAACTCCTCCTGCGCTGCCGTGAACCGCACCTCCATGCCGACGTGGGCCGGCAAGACGCCGTGGATGTCCCCCGTCTTGTGCATATTCGGCGTCAGTCTGCCTCAGCATCAGCCTGTCTCAGCCTCAGCCTCAGCCTGCCTCAGCCTCAGCCTCAGCCTGCTTCAGTCTCAGCCTCAGTCTGCGTTCGACCTCGGCCTCAGCCTCAGCCTGCCTCAGCCTCAGCCTGCATCAGCCTCAGCCTCAGCCTCAGCCTGCCTCAGCATCAGCATGCTTCAGCCTCCTCAGCTTCAGCCTGCCTCAGCCTCAGCCTCAACTTCAGCCTGCTTCAGCCTCAGCCTCAGTCTGCTTTCAGCTTCGGCCTCAGCCTCAGCCTGCCTCAGCGTCAGCCTGCATCAGCCTCAGCCTCAGCCTCAGCCTGCCTCAGCATCAGCCTGCTTCGGTCTCAGCTTCAGCCTGCTTCAGCCTCAGCCTCAGCATGCTTCAGCCCCATCCTCAGTCTGCCTTCGGCCTCGGCCTCAGCCTCAGCATGCCTCAGCCTCAGCTTGCGTCAGCCTCGGCATCAGCCTGCCTCAGCATTCAAAATGTGGCCGGGGAGTGGAATTCTGGGAATTCGAAGAACACGAAATGGCTTACAGTTTGCTCCAGGCATTCAAAATCAGGCCCAGGAGTGGTGTTCTGGGAACGAAGTCCACAAAGTGGCCTACAGTTGGCTCCGGGCATTCAAAATCAGGACCAGGAGTGGAGTTCTAGGAACTCGAAGACCACGAAGTGGTCTACAATTGGTTCCGGGCATTCAAAATCATGCCCAATCTTGGAGTTCTGGGAACTCGAAAAACACAAAGTGGCCTACAGTTGGTTCCGGGCATTCAAAATGTGGCTTGGGAATGGCGTTCTGGCAGCGCGAGAGCCCAAAAACGGGGACAGTTATAGGAATTAGATGACCCGCTCGGATTAGTAACGTGATCCGCGAGCCCCATCGGGGGGGGTCTCCCGCCTAAGAGTTCTTCGCAATTCACTCACAGACGAGGCCCGAGGCGAGTGAGTGAGCGAGTGTGTGAGTGAGTGAGTGAGTGACTGACTGACTGACTGATTGACTGGTGATGATGATGATGATGATGATGATGATGATCATCGCACTCTCTCACTCGCACACACTCATCATCATCATATGTGAGTGCTGATGAGTGAACGAGTGAGTGAGTGAGTGAGTGCGTGAGTGTGTGAGGGATGATGAGTGACTGAGTGAGTGAATAATGAGTGATGATGATGATGGTGGGTTCCTGTTCCTGCGCGGGGTGTCCAGAAACAAAAACAAGAACCCCACTTTGGATGTGGGGAATAATTCTTGTTGGTCCCCCTCCAGTAACACGTGTTTTTTTAAATTGAAGTGCGCCTCTTGGGGCTCGTACCCTGTTTTTGTATCCGGAAGCGTTTTCCTCAAATTTCGTTGTTGGCCCCCAGGCAACGACAACAATGGTTACCTCCTGATTTTTCTCGCACGTTACTGAGGAAGCGCGCTCTCGCGCGGGACTTCTTTATAATTTCTACTGGACTCGCGCTCTCGCGCGGGACTATTCAGGAATCGCGCTCTCGCCTGGGACTTCCTCATAACTTACTTAAGCATCTCGCTCTTTCCCCAGACTTCTTGGCGAATAATGCAGAACTCACCCATTCGCGTAATATGCTTGTTTTTCAATTCAAGTGCCCCTCCCGAGGCTCGCTGTGTTTTTACCGGAGTCTTCCTGCTCAAACTGTGCACCTGGCGCCCACCGGTTCACAACAACAACGGCTCCCGCCTGGTAAACCGCGCTCTCGCGAGGGACTTCCTTATAATCTAATGCAGGAATCGCGCTTTCGCGTGGAGCATCCGTGCAGTTTTATTCTCTTGCACAGCTGTGCTCTAGATCTCGGACATCTTTATTTTCGTCGTGGTTCGTGGTTCGTGGTGGTTCGTCACCCTCGGCCCTTCCCCTGAACCTGAGCCCCAGCTCCCCTGGGCCACCCACCCTTCGGAGGCTTGCTCCGTCCAGGCCCCCGTGGGCCGCGGACATCCTTATTTTCGTCGTGGTTCGTGGATCGTGGTGGTTCGTCCCCCTCGGCCCCTCCCCTGAGCCTGAGCCCCCAGCTCCCCTGGGCCACCCACCCCTCGGAGGCTCGCTCCTTCCAGGCTTCCCAGGGCAGCCCCCTTGGGCCGCGGACGTCCTTATTTTCGTCGTGGTTTGTGGCTCGTGGTGGTTCGTCCCCCTCGGCCCCTCCCCTGAGCCTGAGCCCCAGCTCCCCTGGGCCTCCCTTCGTTGGGACCCCCCCTCCGTCCAGGCTTCCCAGGGCAGCCCCCCTGGGCCGCAGAACCATTTATTTTTCTCGTGGGCCCCCCCCCCCTTGGGCCCCCCCCTCAGTCCAGGCTTCCCAGGGCAGCCCCCCCTGGGCCGCGGAACCCTTTATTTTCGTCGTGGTTTGTGGCTCGTGGTGATTCGTCCCCCTCGGCCCCTCCCCTGAGCCTGCGCCCCAGCTCCCCTGGGCCACCCACCCTTCGGCGGCTTGCTCCGCCCAGTCTTCCCATGACAGCCCCCCTTGGCCACGGACATCCTTATTTTCGTCGTGGTTCGTGGTTTGTCGTGGTTCGCCCTGAGCCTGAACCCCAGCTCCCCTGGGCCAACCCCCCTTGGGACCCCCCCTCCGTCCAGGCTTCCCAGGGCAGCCCCCCTGGGCCGCGGAACCCTTTTGTTTTCGTCGTGGTTCGTGGCTCGTGGTGCTTCGCCCCCCTCGGCCCTTCCCCTGAGCCTGAACCCCAGCTCCCCTGAGCCACCCACCCTTGGGAGTTTTTTTTCCGTCCAGCCTTCCTCCGTCCAGGCTTCCCAGTCCTTCGCAGCTCCTTTGTGCAAGAGCCAGGGCACGCGTGCCACTTGTTCAGACGCCATGCCTTCGACACTCGGGCGTCACGCTGTCGTTGTGGAGTTCCTTAACACGTATTTGGGAATCGTGCTATCGCTAGAGACTTCCTCGCAATTCATGCAGGACCCACGCTTTAGTAATCCGCCTGCTCGACCTGGCCGTCGAGGCCCGCCTTTCCGACCCGCGCGTTAGGGTCTACCCGCCGAATCTGCCCGCTTGGTTCTGTCACGTGTTTTCTTCTCCTAGGCCCCCTCCTGCTATTTTCTTTCGTGCTCCATCTTCCTCCCTCCCCCTTGTCCCTTCCATCCGCCCTCTCTTTCCCTGCCTTAGGGGCTGCACGACCTGCACACGTTGCAGGTTATATCCCTACACCAAGAAGGGGGTACGATCGAACACGAAGATGGCGGGCATCGAGGGTTTGGGTTTGAGCGATCAGTCTTAACATGATTCTTGTTGTTGTTGATGTTGTGTTGCTGTTGTTGATGGAATTGTTGTTGGTGTTGCTGGCATGGCTGTTGTTGTTGGCGTTGTCGTCGTTGTTACTGCTTCTGCTGCTGTTGCTGATGGTGTTGGTGTTGTGTTTGTTGTGCTTTCGATGTTGATGTGTTTGTTGTTGTTGTTGGTGTTGCGGCAGATGAGGATGTTGATGGTGATGATGTTGATGACGATGACGATGACGATGACGATGATGATGATGATGATGATGATGATGATGATGGTGATGATGATGATGATGATGATGAAGGTAATGATGATGATGATGATGATGATGATGATGATGATGATGGTGATGACAATGCTGCTGCTGATGATACTGATGCTGATGCTGACGCTGACGCTGATGACGATGCTGATGCTGATGATGATGCTGATGATGATGATGATGATGTTGATGTTGATGATGATGATGATGATGATGATGATGGTGGTGGTGGTGGTGGTGGTGGTGATGATGATGATGATGATGATGATGATGATGATGGTGATGGTGATGGTGATGGTGATGGTGATGGTGATTGATGTGATGGTGATGTGATGATGATGATGATGATGCTGATGATGATGATGATGATGATGCCTGATGATGATGATGATGATGATGATGATGATGATGACGATGATGATGATGATGATGATGATGATGATGATGATGATGATGATGCTGATGATGATGATGATGTGATGATGATGACGATGATGATGATGATGATGATGATGATGATGATGATGGATGGATGATGATGATGATGAGATGAGGAGGAGGAGGAGGGAGGAGGAGGAGGAGGAGGAGGAGAGAGGAGGCGGAGGAGGATGATGCTGATGATGACGCTGATGCTGATGATGATGATGATGATGATGATGATGATGATGATGATGATGATGATGATGATGATGATGATGATGATGATGATGATGATGATGATGATGATGATGAGGAGGAGGAGGAGGAGGAGGAGGAGGAGGAGGAGGAGGAGGAGGCCCAGGAGGATGCTCAGGAGGATGCTCAGGAGGATGCTGAGGATAATGCCGAGGAGGATGCTGAGGACGATGCTGAGGAGGATGCTGAGGAGGATGCTGAGGAGGATGCTGAGGAGCAAGGAGGACGAGAAGAAGGAGGAGAGGGAGGAGAAGGAGGCGTATGAGGAGGAGAAGGAGAAGGAGAAGGAGAAGGAGAAGGAGAAGGAGAAGGAGAAGGAGAAGGAGAAGGAGAAGGAGAAGGAGGAAGAGGAGGAGGAGGAGGAGGAGGAGGAGGAGGAGGAGGAGGAGGAGGAGTGGGAATATCAGTACGCAGGGCAGGCAGGAGGGTGACGATGACAGGGGGAGGACGACAAGGAGGGCAGGCAGGATGATGAGGGTGTCGAGGAGGACACGGGAGGATGTTGAGGAGGAGGAGGAGCAGGAGAAGGAGGAGGAGGAAGAGGAGGAGGAGGAGGAGGAAGATGAGGGGGCTGCTGCGGAGGGGGGACAGGAGCAGGAGCAGGAGCAGGAGCAGGAGCAGGAGCAGGAGCGGGGGCGCGAAGATGATCGCGCCTCGCGCGCCGCGGTGTGGGCCGGAGACGTCCTTTGCCAGGGGGTGCGCGGGTGCGCGAAGGCAACCCTCGTCTCGCGCTTCGCGCGGCGTGCGGCGCCAAGTTGGGCGTCCTGGATGCGTGGCTCCATTTTCCGGGGCTGTAACGGCAGGGTGCTTCCTGCAGGTTCGCTCCGGCCTGAGGTCCGTTGGGCGTGGCAGTGCGTGTCGGCGGGAAGCCAGACACCCAATGTCACGAGCGTCCCGTCGTGTGGATCATGGGGCCTCTCGACCCCCACCCTGGGGGGCCACGTTTCTACCCCAGGTCGCTCTCGCGGTGGTCCTGGGGCCCACTGCGGACCTCCTGGCGCCCAGCCTGAGGAAGAACCCTGCCGTCACGATGCCTCGGGATGCGGCCAAGAAGGGGGGAGGGATCCGAGGGCGCCGCGCGCGCCAGCACATGTTCCGCGGCCTCAACCACGAGGTGCGTGCCCAGAAGCAGAAGAGGGACCGGCCCCGAGTCCTTGCGGCCAGCCTTGCCAGGACGAAGAGGATGCGGCAGGAAGGGGGAGTGGGGGATACCCAAAGGGACGGAGGAATGATGGACGGCGGAAGGTTGATGGGATGATGATGATGATGATGATGATGATGATGATGATGATGATGATGATGATGATGATGATGATGATGATGATGATGATGATGATGATGATGATGATGATGATGATGATGATGATGATGATGATGATGATGATGATGATGATGATGATGATGATGATGATGATGATGATGATGATGATGATGATGATGATGATGATGATGATGATGATGATGATGATGATGAGGATGATGTGATGATGATGATGATGATGATGATGATGACGATGATGATGATGAGGAGGAGGAGGAGGAGGAGGAGGAGGAGGAGGAGGAGGAGGAGGAGGAGGAGGAGGAGGAGGAGGAGAGGAAGGAAGGCGAGGACGAGGGCGAGGCTGAATGGTAGGACGAGTAGGAGGAGGCGGAGGAGGAGGAGGAGGACGATGAGGAGGACGAGGGGGATCAGAAGCAGGAGGAGGAGGATGAGCGAGGAGCGAGGAGGAGGAGAAGAAGGAGGAGGAGGAGATGGAGGGAGATAACAAGAGAAATAGGAACGACAGGGTGGGAGTATTCTCGTCATTAGGCTCAAGGCAAGGACGTCCTGCCACGCCCCTGTGGTCCATGCCCTGCACTCCTCCTCGTTCCCTTTCCTCCCCTTCGCTCTTCGCTCATGCCTCCTAGCGCATGCCTCCTCCCTTCTCTCCCTAATCACTCTCTCCCTGTCTCCCTCCCTCGCTGCATCCCCCCTTATCTCTTCAGCCACTCTTGTCCCTCCTCCCCCTTTCCCTCCTCGTTGTTGTCGTCGTCGTTCAACTCCTCCTGCTCCTCCTCCTCTTCAGCCGTCTGGCGCAGGTCTCCCGCGGGTCTCCTGCGACTGTTGGCGTTAATTTCAGAGCGGCGCTGTGCCAACGGGCCTCCTTGGCTCGGCGTGTTTTTTTGTTGTGTGTGTGTGTGTGTGTGTTTGTTTTTATTATTATTATGTTTTCTTTTGTGTGTGCGCTCCTGGAGGAGCACAGCGTTTTGTTCATGGTACCACCCCCTAACCATGGCGACCTCTCGCATCGGCCCTGGCGAGGCGTTGGCGAACACGGTAAAGGAAGTGGCCGTAACCCAAAGAGGCAGTCGGGCTTGCGCGGGCCACCAACCTTCGGTCACAAGTGCGCTGCTTGCGGCTGCGCCAAGAAGGAGGCGTCGGCCAGGTTCTGCAAGCATGGCGGCTCCCAGCTCTCGAAGGTTTCTCTCTCGCCCCCCCCTGGAGCGCATGGGGTTTGGATGATGGCGGCGCCCTTCCTGGTGTCTCCGCTGCTCCTCCGTGCTCTGGGCTCGCTCTTCGTGTCCACGGGCTTCTTGGAGGCGCAGGAGCTGACGGAGGCAAAGGCGGCCGCCAGGGAGTCAACGGCGCTGGGGGTGGCAAAGGTGGAGGAGCTGCTGGCGTGGTCTCGACTCCCCGCGAGGTGGGAGCACAGCCCCAGCTTTTTCTTGAAGACGCTCGTCCGCTGGCGGCTCTCTCACACAAGGCCGGCGACGTCGCGAGCGCCACCCGCCACCGCCAGATGGCCGAGAAGCTCGACGCGTTCTTGCATCCCGCCGTCGCGCCCATCCACCAGCGGATCCAGCAAAGCAGCGCAGCGGCCACCCGCCTGGAGCGGAATATCGAGACGGATATGGATAAGCTGGAACAGTGGCAGCCCGAAGTGGTGGCGCATATTGCGTACATCGGCAGTTTCAATTCGGAGTTCAAGGCCGCGGATAGCAAGTACCAAGCAGATGTCGAAGAGCTCAGGGCTTCACGTCGTCGAGGACCAGAAGACGCCCCTTCTCAGGCTCCACCCGCACTCTCTCTCAAGCTGTCTGCCTTGGTGGATGGCTCGGCCGATCTGAGCAAGCTCATCGACTTGGACGAGCTCGTCGCCGACGCCTCGCTCGACCAGGTGATCGAGGAGGCTGACTTCGAGGGGGTCGACCAGAGGAAGCAGCAGCTGGGAGCCGCCATTCAGACCATGGCGAAGGACTTACTGGGCCCGCTGGTCAAGCAGGCGCAGGAGGCCCAGGCGCAGCATGCTGATCACACGCGCCGCCTCCAAGCCAAGAAGCGGCGGACGGAGCCAGGAACGGCGGGCGCAGCAGCAGCAGCAAGCGCATCGCGCGACAGTGGAGCGAGGTCAACTGATGCAGGGCAGCCTGCTGACAAGCCAGCTGAAGGCGAGGCTGTCCCAGCTCGCGGCGAGTCGGATGCTGCCGGGTGTGCCCTTGTCCAGCCTGTTTCAGGCGATGTGCGAGTTCGCGCTGCGAAGCTTCTGCCCCCCCCCCCCCCCACTGGGGGCGCGGCGGGTGGGGGGCCCTATGTGATCGGCGAGTAGCAGCTTCAGCGCAGCGGAGTTCTTTTTCATCTTCCTCGAACTTTCAAGGCGTGCCTTCCGCGGGGGCGTCGATGGGCGTTTCAATTCGTCGGGATTTGAAGCGTTTGAGCAGAGCATTTCTTTATAGTGGCCTGGGGGCCGAACCCCCGGGGGCGCATCCTGCCCCCCCGCCGTCTTGTACGGGCGGGTTTGTCTCCTCCTCCTCCGCCTCTTCCTTCTCCGCGGGGGTCGGCGCCTGCGCTCTTTCTGAGCGCCCGCGCTTCTTTTGCAGCCAGCGGCGCGAAGTGCGTCGCTCCGCATTCTGTCTCTTTCCCCGCCCCTTCGCTTCTTCTTCGCCCCCCCCCTTCCCTCGCGGCGCGCCTCGGGCGTTCGTTGTTTGCGCGCGCCGTCGAGCAGTGCCGGTCGCGGCGCAGCTCTGGGTCTAGCGACTGGGCGTTCTCGCTCGGAGAAGGGCTGCCCCCGCGGCAGCGCAGCGAAGCGCCCGCGCATCTTGCCACAGGGTACCTCTGGTCTTTTTTTTCGCCCCCCCAGCCAGCCAGCCGGAAAACGCGCGTCAGCTCATCGTGGATATTGTCAACGCGACAGCGTGGAGTTCGATTCAGCCCTGGCATGTTCGCACGGAGGTCCAGTTTTCCTTGGTCCAGGAGCGTCGTCTTGACTCTCAGGATCTCTGCAGCGAAGCGCCCCCGTGCTTCTTCAACGGCGGCTGGAAGGGCGTCTTCCTGAAGGCTGAAGCTGGACCTGGTGGGGGATCGTCGGGGTGTGCGGCTATTCTGGTACGCAACTGCATCGGTTTCAGAAGCCTTGATTTTGGGTCGGGCCGTTTTCCTGGTCGAGCGATTGCCGGCGTCGTGGAGGTCCCGGGTGGGCTGCCAACATGGATGGTCGGCGCCTACTTCTCGGCCTTGACCGACAACAGACATATTATATATACATATATATATATATATGTATAGATATTCCGTATTTTGGCGTGCCTTCCGATATTCGGCGGCCCGCGGCGCGGAAAAGGTCTCTTCGGCTTCCTTAGAATTGGTGTAATTTGGACGTTGTGCTCATCTTGCGCATACGCGCTTCAAAGCCATCTGTGTGTCAGCGGCCCCTGCGGTCGCGCGCGCCCCTTGCTGCGGGCGCGTTCGCGCTCGCGATGGCGCGGCGCAGCGCGCGCGAAACTCTTTGCGCGCGATCTTCGCGCCGGGGCAAACGACTCGCCCCGGCCTCCAGCGCGCCATTTCACATCTCTCGGGGCCAACGGCGGGCTGGCGGATTTGCGGCGAGCATGGGTCGCGCGCGTTGGTGCGAGACGGTGTTCGCGCGAAGTTTGCCGCGCTGTTGGCCCGACTGCGCGGCGACCTTGCGAAGGAGGAGCAACCGATGAAACTGTTCTGCGTGCCGGTCGGGGCGGACTTCTTCGGTGATAGCTGGGGGCTGTCTCAGGAGATCCGCTCCACCCTGGCGCCCCTGGGGGGCGCGGCCCGTGGTTTCGGCGGCTCTTGGCTGATCGGCGCGGACTTCAGCGTGGTTCCGAGCGAGTTGCAGCGGAGTGCTTTTTTGTTCGACCGCGTCGCCTGCAATGTCATGGCCCCCGAAGCCGACGCCTGTCAGGCGAGCGCGAAGTCCAGCAACATCGATTATTCAATTATCTTGGCAGGGTTTGGCAAGCGCGTGGGATCTGCGAGGGTTCAGGCCGATATTGACATTGAGACCCGCGCCCCCGTTCGAGTGAAGTCGCTCGGAAACGCGGCGTCTGCGCAGGCGCTCAGCTTCGTGGGGCCGCCAAAAATCTATTCTGAGCAGCCTGTGTGTGGGGCCCGCTTGCCGGGCCAGGTCGGCGTGGGTGCTAGATTGCGCGCGCAGAGGCTTGGAGTTGCCGCGGGACAGGCCGAGGAGGGGTGGCCCGACCTCAGAGGCCAGCAACATATGTACACGTACGCGGTTAGCTTCCCCTGGAGTGCGTGTCAACGCGGACGTTCGCGCAGGCAAGACCGCGGAGGGCGCGCGTGTACATATGTCGTTGCTCGCCCACGACCTCGCCGAGATCAAGGTTGCCGCGCGCCGTCGCATCGCCTTCCACTGGCATGGCGCCCGGGGCAAGCTACGCGGGCCCATGTGGGTCTCTGTGGCAGACGTGGGCGCCAGCCGAAACTAGGCGCTGGACCCCCCCTTGTTTTCTTTCAGGTGGTTGGTGAGAACGTGTTGGGCATGTCTGGCTGACTTGGGGGCCCCTGGCGCTCTTGGACAACAGGGCCACTGCTTCTTGGGCTTTCCTCCGGACATCTGAGCATCTCGATGGCTGTCGCGATCAGTGCCTTCGGGGTCGCTCTTTTCTCCAGGGCGGCCTCATTCGTGGATCGTGGGGCCTCGATGTCGGGCTCGAACTTTCGGGCGAACTTGACGATGCTTTTTGGGTTTGCGCTGCTGCGGCGATGCTCCGGGGCCCAAGAGATCGGCAGGCCCGGCTACTAGACGGCATTACCAGAGGAGGCAGGCGGACGCACAGGTGGACAAGGGAGTGCAAGGCTCGGGCGGCTACGACCACGCTTTCGCGACGCGGCCACGTCGCGTCAGACCCCCCGGCCCTGTTAGAGATAGAGGCCGCCCGCCTTCAGATTTGCGGTTGGCCGATAGGCGGCCAGGTTGGAGCCCCGATCCACTCGGCGTCTTTGATCCTTCGGAGGCTCCCACTCCGGATTTGATCTGCCAGGCATCTCGCAGCTATTCGACGCGCGCTTGCATGTCTTCCGCCGCCTCCACATGCGCCGCTTCGCCAGCATGTCGGGCGATTGCCTGATAGCGTTCAGCATCGTGATGCAGATTTGCGAGACCACAGGGCCCCTGCCGCATCGCATGCAAGTGCCCCAGATGGTCTTCCTTTCCAAGTCTCAAGGGGGCTTTCGGCCGCCTTGGTTTTTTAGCTCGTCTCACCGTCTCCGGGGACGAGCACGTTTGAGAATGGCGCTCGCCTGGGAGCTGGGGAATGCTAGAAGCTACCTGGAGGTTTCAACGTGCAATAGGGTGTCATATGTGGTCTGGAGGCAGTCGGTCTGGAGCGAGTCTGAGGTCAAGCGTGGCCAGGCGGCTGCCGCGTTGTTATGGGGCTTCCGGAAGTTCTACGAGAGCGTGCAGTTGCCCTTCTTAGAACAACGAGCCCATGCGTTAGGTTTCCCGGCGCAGAATCGCAGCGCGTGCATTTGCGCTCAGCGAGAGCAAGATTTTTCGCCATGTCTAATGTTTCCATTGGCTTTTCTATGCCATCAATGGCGTGGTGGCAGGCTGCTCGATGGCCATTGCATCC